TGAGCACAGACTCTGTGCTGTGCTGCTTGGGGTGGAGAGAAGAGGTGAAGGAGAGGGAAGGGTGGGGGTAATTGGCACATTAAGGAAAAGGAATTCAAAATAAATTTAATCTCCCAATCCCTTTCACCCCCCCGAGAGGTTTACAGTGAGCATGCTCTGTCTTGTTGTGAGACACAAGGAGAGCACAGAGCACAGAGAGAGTGAACCAGAGATGAGGAACGTAGAGAATGAGGTTCTGATCGAAGTAATAAGCTGGCTTCCAGTCAGAAGAGGCAACTTTGAATAAAAATGTCTGAGTTGGTTGTGTCATTTTTATGTATGTGTGTGTGAAGTTGGGCTTAGCATCTGGCCAAAGATTTGCATTTGTTCTTCTACGCCATTTCTCGCACCACCTCACACAGTTGACTACTGCCATCAAGCCTACTCACTACACAAGCCCGCTGGAGTACCTGGCAACATGTCAAGAGCGGTACAAGTTTTGGTATGTAGTTCTTAGGTTGGGAGATTCTGAAATCACAAATAGAGAGAATTAACACTTTTTAAGCACAAATTTTCCCTTTTGATAACTTCTTCTTTTCTTTAAAAAAAATAAAATAAACTTCTGGTGAAATGCCCAAAGCGAGGCTGTGTCAGCTTGTGAAGTGCAGAAGCCACGTTAGAAGGCCTGCTGGATTTTATTGTGTGTGGTTTGGGCTCTTACAAGGACATATGGTGTGGCATATTTTTTTATAATGTAATCATTCCTCCTCCTGCAACAACACTATTAAAACTGTCTGCATGCTGAGGCAAGAATTCAGTCAAGGACCCTGCTGACCCAGACACAGCAGAGTATAAACAATGCTGCTAAGGCTTTAGCAGCACACATGAAAGCACACACATTACCACACACATCATACATTGTCAGTACCCAAAAGCTGTTTATTTCTGCAAATTGTGCAGCGGTTCACTGCAGCTGTTTTTTTTTCTGATTTTTAAAATCTTTACTTCAGATTTGGGTCAATGCTGCATACATACAAACTCCTCGCTCCAGTGGTTTTTATTAGTGCTCTGTGTTTATTTTACTCAAATGCAACCCGTGATTTGCGGAGGTTAGTCATCTTCCGCTGCCGAGGAAGGACCGAGAGGTCACCTGGAGTTCTTTCATTCAGAAGCTGTTTGAGTGACACTGATCTGGCTTTCAGGTAGTAAAGTTAGTTGACACGGTTGCACAAGCCTATCATTATGCCTTCTCTCCATTTTGTCAGTATATAGCCCTTTTGTCACACTCACGGTAATTTCTACGTGTCACATGTAGTTCAGAAAATAATAATACTAATAAAAAAAAAAAGCCAACCAAAAAAAGTATATGTATATACAGTATATATCGCGGCTACTCTGTTTAACTTGATGCATTTTAATTTGTTTGAAAGCTACTTCCTGTATAAATGACACAGCTAACAGGCTCCTGTGTGTCACAGGAGACTTGGCGGCATGATTGAATGGGATTGTCTTTGCTCTGTTCCGCCATCTCGTTAGGGGAAATACACCAGCCCGGATTTCAGGGTGCTGACAGCCTGATTTGGTGTGATGGGTTGCCCTGCGCATGAACATGCCATCCCCTCGGCTGCTGCGTGAACACTGTGCTCTGTGTTGATGGTGATGGCAGGCGTGCAGATCATCTTTCCAGCAGAAGCAGGAAGTGAGAATTGGAGGGTTCCTGCTACCAGGCCCCTTCTTTCCTCCCGGTACTACACCAGGCCAAACTGAAACCATGTGTGTTCTCACCCCGTGGACCTCCGCATACAGCCAGCCTGGCTGCCCGGCTGGCAAGTGATGTGGTCTTTCTAACAACATGTGATCTCAGGAAGCATTCAGCCCCTCCCCCTTCCACTATTGTTATTTGAATCCCGTCTCTGTTTAGCTCCACTGGGGTCTCTTGGGGAAAGTGGTAAGTGATTCCTCCCTGTGTCCAGACTCCAAAGAAAAACCCCTCCCCTTTTCAGCTTTCATTCAAGGTTAGGCACACGATGGATGTGATTGGGGAAGTACAGTAGTCTGTCACCCGGCCCAAAGGTCATTTCCTGCTGCCACGGGTTAACTAGGAGCAGATTAAGAAAAATGGCTCAGACTCACAATGACAATGGAGGAAGTGAAGCTCTGATAATTACGTACAATTTATTTATAATCACATAAATTGATCATTTTGTTGGCTTGTATTTGACAGGTGGAAAAAAATGTCAGTTGTAAAGTGAAGAGATTTTCAGGATGCACGTAGCAACTTCTGACACACCTCTCATGTAATAAGCACCTACTGTATGCCTTTACACGCTGAAGAACACAATATAAAAATCCCACTTTCAAGCTCAGTATAAAGGTTTTGGATTCAGTCATGTAATTCAGCACAAACATACTGTATTTTTGCTGTGGACTGTGTCTTCATTGAAGCTTTTTTCTAAGCATTCAAATTGTGTACATTGTCATCAATCACAATATTTTAGTCATGGCGACATGCTCGGGCATGGGAATACTCCTGAAGTGAGGTGTTTATGTTGATGGAAAGTGAGGGTGTATGGGGCTGATTACTCGAAACACCCGTCTTTTCTCTCAATCCTTCCAATTCAAACGACTGTTTACTGAAAACATTGGCTGATGAGGGGATAATCTGTCAAAAATATACTGCACAGTGTGCACTCCTTCATTGTTTGCCTCACTTTCCCCCTCTCTCACTGACTTCTGTTGCTCTTGCATCTTTAGGAAAGAAAAAAAAAGTAGATTTAATCTATGCATGCAACTGACTCCGTGTGCAAAGCAAAATTAATGGAAACAAAATCTTTTTTGTTGTTATTGTTGTTGCATTAAAAAAAATCATATTCTTGCAGAGTTGCTGCGCTGGCATTCCTGCTACTCCTGGTCTGTGAGAGATTGTTCGGGCCTTGCCCCTGCCGCGTTCCACTCCTCTGTCTCATGTGAAAGTCAGCCCTGACCAACCTCCTATCTCTCATTTTTTCCTAATGAGACAGGCATTGTAGGGACACCTGTGGACTGCCATTTCCATTGAGGGGGGTTGAAGGATGGGGGTGTGGTGTGGCAGCTCTGCTAGCTTTTAATCGAGACGCGTTGACTAATCGCCCAAGGATTAGCCTCTTAGACAAGGCCTCTTTCATTCTGATACGCCATGTAGTGCAAAGACTCCACTTGGAGATGCAGAGGGTGGAGGAGAGTACTTTTTGGGGGGGATGGGGGAAGTGCAGATGGCATACTGTACCTGGGTGTGCTTTGTTTGATCATGCCTGAGCCCTCTGCATTTACACACACACACTCACACATACACATATATACAGACACATACTCGTATCCTGAGGCTGGATCTTTTCTCAGTCCTCTAAATGGAGACAGCTCTGCATATTTCTCACAGCACTCACCTCCTCTGCTTCTACCTTTGGAGAAGTGGAGTATATTTACAGATGTCTGCCCAAAAGCTATAAAGACATTCAAAAAAGTGGAGCGTTATTGATTTGTGAGCAACAAAACCACCTTGCCACGTCATGCTTTGCTGTGTTTTCACGCCTGTTACAAAGAAACATGCACACACATACATATTTGTGCAGTTATGCTCTGACTAACATTAAGTTTAGCATGCCGTGGATTGGTTGTGTAAGTGTTAGTGAGTGTGGACAGTGGACCTGTATATTGTTGCATGTTAATGAAGCAGAGAACGTTTATTGAAGCTCTAAGGGCCAAAATTTGCGACTGATGTTACCCAGATCCATTTGCTGTGTATTCTAGGAGATCATTTATAACACACAGTGTTCTATATACATGTGCATAAGCAGCATGCTCATGCCAAGATATAATGGAGGCAGAGAGAAGAAAGCCTAACCTTGCTGAAGACCATTGCTTCTGTCTGCAAAGAGGTGCAAAATTGGTTGTCCTTTAAGACAGGTAAAAGAAAGCACACGACTCTTTAACCTTCAATGTGCAGCAGCAAATTTCTACTTTTAGCCAATTTGTACTTTATACAAACCTCCAATATCTGTAATATATGGCTAAACAGTATGCTACAATTTCCTACAGAAAGTTTTGTCAGTCTTAAGAACATTGGCACTTGAGATAATTTGCTTTTGGTTTCTGGGATTAGAAACTGGTAAGGTGTGACATGCTGTTTTTCTTGATTTTCCTTCTGCACAGTTTGCCTGTAAAGCTTGTGAGTTTCAGCTTTGACATACCTATCAGAACAGGTTGCTACACACTAAGCCGTCTCTGACTAGGACATAGTGCAGAACGAGCGAGGGCCTAACACAACTCTGTTAACGTGACAGAAGATAAAGGGGGGCAAACATTACAGCGATCCGTGTCCTTTGAAAGAGTTTGTTGGGGTAGCGCATCCCAGCAGCCTTCTTTGATTGATCCTCTGATTAACCCCGATTATATGATGTGTTTGCAGAGAGAACCCATTAAACAGCAGGCTGTGATCTTCAGATATTTGCCTTTTTTTCTTTTCTTTTTTTTTAAGGTGGTATATGGGCACCAGGTGAGCTGAGCCGTGTGTACTGTGTGTATTGTTATCCACGTTTACTTAGTGGGTTTATATGTTCTTTCACCTGTGTACACTCTCAAATAACAATGGCCATCATGGATGAAGAAATCTACACGAGGAAGGCATCGCATTTAAAATATCAGGTTTAAGGATTCATAATTTGCTATTGAAACTGTAGGAGAGAGTTCATTTCTTCCATTGAGTTGAACTGTTCAACTTATCTGATTCCATTTCTCCAAACTGTTTGCTTTAGAGTACATACTGTGGCCTGTTGTTTGTCTAGTCACAGGAGCAGCCTGGATGTGGCTGCCAACTGGGCTCTGCAGGTTGTGTGCTGGTTCACTCACCTTGTGGGGAAATGATAACGAAGGAAATAAATTAAATAGTACTAAAACATTTGCGGTTTGGGAGATAGAAAAGTGAGACAGATTTTACAGCAAATGGGAGGTGCAGGGCAGAAGCTGAGGCTGCAGGATATGAATAGGTGTGTGTGTGTATGTCTGTTTATGTATGTGTGCGTTAAAAGGCTGTTTTTATGAAGGAAAGGGCTGGGAACTAAGTGTTTGGCCCTCCAGGTGTGTGCGCCGGTGGTTGTTAGGACTTGTGAGGCCTTCTGCGGAGGTGGCTACGTGACAGTGGTAATGATAGGTTGTGGCAGGTGAAGACATGAGTGTATATGTGTATCTTGCTGCAGGCAAGTGTTAGCTTGATGACAAACTCATACACACACACACACAAGCCTGTGCACACAACAATGTACCTTATATCAGACTTCATATCCCACGCAGTGCAAGCAATTAGATGCATGACATCAGGACGAGTAAGCACTTGCCAAGTGAGGAGGGCCAAGTTCTTCAGTTTGGGGTCAGATAATCCTCAACCAAGCAGCTCTGTCTGATATGCAGGTGCTTAAATCAGGTGACTGAGAGGTCAAGTTCAGGTTGAGGTGTAATTTAGCTGAGAGAGTCAAGTGCTTCCTGTCTGATTGTCTTTGACCCGTTGACTTAACAAGTTGAGCCGTGTTTTTAATTTTTTAGGCGTTTATACCGAGTAAAGAGTGCCAAGTGTGTGCATATAAACATATAAGTAGTGTTTTGTTCAGTTGAGAATATTTGCATAGTTTTCATGTGCACCAAATGTGCTTTAATCGTGTATCTAATCTATAGTGTGTGCAGGTAAGAGTGAAAGCTATAGGGTTTTTGTTGTTGTTTATTTGGTTTCAAAATGAAGAGTGACCAATATAAATCCATATATTAAGTCTTCAAATATTCAAAGGCACAACTATGTCTAAAAAACACAAACTTGTATTTATAGGATCATAGTCAGTATGAGAGAGAAGCTCATTGCAGCTTTTGTGCTTGTGGGGTTTGCACCATATCTACTTATCTATTACGTCACCCAAGATGAAGAGTTTTAATTGCGCATCTTCTGCAAAGGTGCTTTTAGAAACAATGGTAGTCGGATAACTGAACAGACTGCGTGGACTGTGTAATGCATTCATTTTCTTTGGTATAAGCTTTCTGATCAACACAGTACATCCTCTTAAACACTGAGCTAAGATCTGCAGATGTTTAAATTAGCTTTTTTTTTAACGACAGACACATACCTGGAGCTCATTAAATGTAATATGCACTGTACTACACTCTCCTGTCATTTACAGTATTGTATAAAGATAATAGCGCTGCTTGACAAAGATGCTCATTGTTGTGGCTTTGCACCAAGGCCTTGCATCTTGGGGAAACAGAACTGGCTGCGGCAAGTCCCATCACACAATAAAGCTCTCAGGAGGACCTTTTCATCCCCACGGCGTTCCACAATGGTCTCACCACTTTGGCCGCATCCGTTTGCCCCATTCTGCGCATCTTTCTTCTGTGATGTCGCAATATGTGAAAACACACATATGCGCTCGCAAACACACAGGAAGAAGAGAAAGAGGATAAGCAGAGACAACAGGCGAGCTATTGTCTTGTCGTACATAGGATAGGCTCAGAACTGCTCATGTCTGCATGTCTGTGGTTTAAGACGGTTTAGTTCCTAGTGGTGTTTGCCAAGATGACTCTTCAACGTGTCAGCTACCATTTAGTTTATTGAAAGTGGGAGACGTAAAGATAATGACACGAGTGAGAAATGATTTTAGACACCTCTCGAGTCATCCTCAATGGCAGCTTTCCACATTCCATCCTCAAGATAAAAGTCGTAAAAATAATAGTCTGACAGATAAACTCCGGGGAATCACTGGTTTGTCTCAGAGGGCTTTTGTCCACCAAGATCAGACCCCCTTTGTCAGGTGCATGTGTATAAGTGCTTGTGAGATTATTTTTTCATTAAACTTTCTATTATGAATCAGAGTCTAATGGGTTCAAAGACATCAAGAGGATATTTCCTGCTGTCTTACGGCACAGAGCTACTTCAAAGTAATCCAACTGTTGACGGCAGCTGGTCTTCTCTGGCCGTCCGACTTTGTCCTACTGTATGAAGAAGCTATTGTCATTCACAACTGTACATATCCCCCACGTACCGCAGTAGAAAGTATTATGCTGTAGACAGTATTAAGCTCCCTGGAAAGATATCAAAGCTTCCTTTTGCCATCATTGACTTCTCATTGTTTCTCTTCAATCCATCTCTTCTCCCGTCCCAAAGACGGCAGTGCCCAAAGGCAGTATCAGTGCTTATATTTGTGATTTTGTTGGCAGAGGAACAATGCTTCAGTTTAAGCAGTGCATTCCTGATTATTGACACACTGTGGTATGGCGAAGGATTAGCGAGTGCCTTGGCTTTCTGATTCTTCAGCTTTGGCCCACGAGCTACACCTGGGTGTATCTATGACAACAGGCTTCACAATGGACAGATATTTCACCACTAACCGGTTCGACAGAGAGTCTGTAGCAAAACTTGTAGAAGGAGTGTCGCTTGAGAGGAGAAGAGGGAAATGTTTGCTTTATATTACTGACTGTGGCTCAAAGTGAGCCTGTTTAAAGATTTCTAGGAAATAGGAATTGAGCTGTCACCACTTTAAAATGATAATCATATAATGTGTTTTCTTTTTTTCTTTCCTTTTTTTTTTCTTTTTACAATGTTCTATCTTGTGTATACAGTAGAAATAGTTTAGTAGGGTGTAGCTGGTGGTTTATAGTTTTTGCAAGAGGAACTGGTCCTATTCTGACAGCCCTGATTACCTGTGTCCGGCTATCCCACATGTGGTCTGTGGTGAGATGGCCTGATATCTGGAACTAAGGCATTATTGTTAGCTAACACTGAGTTTGCTGAGGGTCTCCTTCTGACTTTCTCTCAGTCTTATTGCTAGGAGGCTCCATAAGCATCCTGGAAAACACTTCCACTGACACCATGGGCTTAGGTGGGAATTGGCTACTTGGTTTTGCAAAGAAACATTAAGACAATGAGAACCTGTGTTGTTTTGCATTATCAAGGGCAGAAACTGTAAATGTAGGGGTGTCGTGAGAATTTTTGCATTTAGAGTAAACACAACAAAAATGACTCCGTTACCCTGGAGACATTGTGTTTTGGGGTTGTATGTCCATTTGTCCAGTTTTCCATCGTGCTGATGTTAATATGTCAGAAAATCCTGAAATGAATGTGATTCAAGCAGGCACAAAACCAAGACATCTTTGGCCATAAATAAATTGTCAACATTTGAATTTCTGCAATATTTCTCACAACTGTTTAATAGATTGAAATTTTAGCAGCATCAGTGCAGTGTGGCATCAAGGCTGTCAGCTTATGGCTCTACTGAGATGTTATTGAAACCCAGGTTGCTTTGATAGCGGGCTTCTGTAAGTTTTGGATTGAGTGTTTCTCATCTTGCTCTCGACAATACTACACACATTCTCTATGGGGTTCAGGTCAAGCATGTTGTGTAGTCAGCCAAAGACAGTAATAATATAGTCAGCAAATCATTTGGTTGTAGTTTTGATTCTGTGGGCAGATGTTAGAGTGCTGCTTTTAAAGGAAATTGGCATCTCCATAAAGCTTGCTAGCAGATGGAAGCAGGAAGTGCTTTAAAATCCTCTGGCATACATCTACGTTGATTTTGGACTTGAAAAAACAGGGTAAACCAGCAACCAACAGATGACCTTTGTATCTGTTTCTTTCCACACTGTGTTCAGTAGCTAGGATCTTAATTTCCAAATAAAATGCAAAATATAATTTCATATGGAAAGAGGACTTTAGACCAGCAACATAAAATATCTGTACATGGTGGCTCTTGATGCATTTCCTCAAACTTGAAATGGAATATTCTAAGAATTTGAGATGCACAATTTCAGATTTCTGTGAGCTATAATCATCCAAAAATAATACACAAAACACTTGAAATATAGAATATATTCAAATTTACCTTTGATAATAAAATTCTGAAATAAATTAACTTCTTGTTTAGTTTTGTTTTTTCAAATGAACTAGAGACTAGATTCATTTTAAGAACAATTCAGAGTATAAATGTAAACACGGCTTTCCCCCCATCAGTATGGACTACAGATATTTAATCTGACAGCTGTGGTTGCATTCCTGGAAAGAAAAAAATATCTCCATATCATTTTAATAAACAAGTGTGGGAAACATAATGCTCTCAAGCTTTTGAGAAACAGCCACAGTGGTGCCATGCCACCAGATCTATTCCTAAAACTAAAGGTAATAAGATAATTACTTATGGTAGAACTGATAGGACTGAACTTCTGTATCCTCCTCAGTGAAGCACAAACCTTGAGAATAAGCTGATAGATATCATGTAGGAAACAGTATCTTCATGTGGATACACTATCTATACATCCAAGAAGTGACTGTTATCTACAGCGGAAACTTTATCTCAAACTTTTTAAACTGTGTTTCTAATGTGCACTGATAAGAGAGGTATTTGGGCCATTCCTCAGTCTAGGTAATATTGCTCAGCAGGACCGACACCTAATAATCATGCCAAGTGGGGGAAAACCCAACAACCTGAAGCACATTTGAGTAAAATTTTCACTTCAGAAAATGTTAATCCATGTGAAAAGTCTCACCTAATAAAATTCATATATGTTTTTCTCCTACAGAAAATATAATGAAAGAGTTTATCATGCTGTGATTTTGGCAGTAGATTTAAATAATAATATTAAAAAAGACAGATAAAAAAGACAGAGACCATAAAAAGGCCATCTGAGAGTAATGTAGGTAACTTCCAAAATTAGCACATAAATTGTGAAAGAAAAAAGTAACCAGAAAAGCTTCTTCCTGATCTGAGATGTCAAAGGGATAAGTTGTAATATGACTGGAAATGAGGCTGAGAGGAGTGTAGTGGAACCGGACTTGATCAGGAGCTCTTTTACTCACAACAAGTGGTTTTGTTTGGCACTACCCCGTTGTTGACACTGCCAGGTTCTCATACTTATTTGATTGCTGTTGACAGACAGGACTGTGGTGACACTGTTTTACCATCGACTTAACCGGAATAATAGCCGAAATAATTTTAGATGTTCAAGAAAATTTCATCTTTGTCGCATTACAGAAACACATGTTCAGTAGATTATTATTATTTTTTCTTGTGACACTAAAATACAGTACCTTGATATTTTCTCTAGACTCCACGTGATGGACAGTGTGGGAATGTTTTCCCAGACGTTCTTTTGTGTAATTGATGTGTTAGTCCTGCCACGTGAATGAGGAAATTGAGTATGGTTGTTTTTTGTTTTTTAATTGTTGCTTTTTGTTTCTTCTTTTTCCTTATGGCTCATCCTTGTATGGGCACTGAGGCACTGCCCCTTTGGGAAACAAAATTCCCCTGCCTATAATGAAGTGTCACAGGCTTTAACCATGGTCTTGTGGTGAAAGGCAGCGTGGGAAGTTTGTTGAACTTCCTGACCCCACACACCACCACAGCACATTGACCCTCATCACGTGATAAAGGAATGTTCCTCATCTTTTGTTTTAACATCCATGGCACTCATAGGGTTGAGAGCAATTTTGCATACTATAGAATGATCACTAGCTTGGCATTTTGCCTCCCCATTCTCCTCCGGCGTTATTATCAAACAGGATTTGTGGGCCGCTCTCTCCTGCATCTTTTAAATCACTTCAAGCGCTACTGAAGCCTTTTTCACCCAAAACGGGCACCAATCTAATGGCATCATTTGGGCCTGCACACATCAAGAGAATCAACCCCCTTTTTTTTCCATGCTTAAGGTTTTGTGAACCAGGGGAAAACAAAAGGCTGGCCCAGTGAAGCGCATCTCGCCTGGCCGGCTGAATAGAGGGGCCCCTTTCATGGCTGTTTATGAGCACCCCTCTTCAAAAACACACATACAAATCACATCCAGTTCTCCCAGTGGCTCCTCTAATATGAGGGTGACGGCAGGAAAGAAAGGGGAAGGGACTGAAATCTAGTTCTGCCTCTTTCCACTTATTCTGTTCCAGTTGGTTAATTCCATCAACCAAAAAAATGTAAAGTTTTTGACATGTCACACATTTGTTAGGCATTGTTTCTCAATAAAAAACAAACAAAAAACAAGCAAATAAATAAACGAAGAAAATGCTAAAAATTATTTAACAGCTTTTTAGACAAATCAGCTGATTTCATGTGACATAAAGATACCAGAAGAATTCCAACATCCTCTAAAATGTGTGGCAACCAATGAAGAGATGAGTAATATGCACTCTGTTACAGTAACAGTGTTCAGCACAGTCATCTGTAGTTTTGTTAAGAATCAAAATTGCATAATGAAGCTGAGTAATCATCCCCATTTGAAGTCGCATAATAAAAATACTAATAGCAGTAATAGCACTTTGGGCACGTCTGCTGAAAACACTGATAACAGACAGAAGAGATAAAAATTCAACATTACAAAATAGCCACTGACGTATCAAATTTCAGTGACATTCAATTTATCCTCTTTGTGGAAGTACAGCAAGTTTCATACATTAGAAATAATGTCCAGAGCAGATACTGTGTTCCTATTACACTTTGCGGATGTGTGCATTGACATGTACGTGGAGGAGGAGTGAGCTGTAGTGTCAAACACTTTTAATAAATTGAAGTCCTTCTGCAAGCTACCTTTTCTGCTCCATGTCAAATGTTGTTCAACAGGTAGGGTTTGATGGACAGGAGGAATGCGGGCTGAGGGATTTGTTTTGTAATGGCAGTCCATTCTCTGGGTGTTCTTGAGCAAATAGTGTGGCGCTATGTCCTGTTTTTACGGGTTTCACACGTCACTGTTCAAACTCTCAAACAAACTGATCCCCAAGAGTACATGGAAGAATGGAAGAGAGCAAACAGCGCTCTAATACTTCACCGCTCCGACCTTCTGCTAACTTGACATACACACAGACAAACATGCAGTCACACACACACATACAGCTTTTTACCTTTTGCTAAAGGATGTGAGTGTGACCCACCTGATTTTTCAAGACAGTCCCACTCATTCTTAACTTTAGCTGAATCCTTACATTCTCTCTAAACATTAAAACATATTATTTATTCCATTTTTAGATTCCCCACTGTCTTCACGCAGGGAATTGTTTCTATTCATGCACAACAGGTCGTGCAATCTCTGTTGGTGGCTGCTGTGTGTCATGATTAAGCAGCAAACGAATGCCCCGGTTTGGCTCCATGTGCCAGCCTAATTGAGTGCTACTTTAATGCGTTTGGGTCAAACGCACGGAAAACGGTGGGAATTCTGTGGGAAAGTTTGAGCACTCATAAAATGATGGATTTTTAAGCACTCCCTTTATTCCAACAAAATGTAATGAAACAGCCCAATGTGTTTTTTTATTAATGGCATGGAAAAAAAATATATAGGAAACATGTAGGGCTCCCTGCTTGGTGCTCCGTGCTGTGTGTCTCAGTCTGATTTAGTTTATACAAGCATTTGTTAAGCAGTCAGGCGTGTATGTGTCCGGACTTGTGTGTCACTGTTACACTAATGCCAAGCTCCCTGCCATGTTTTTCTTTTCTACAAACATAAAAGAATCAAACACCTACAGCTTCCATTGTTGCCTCTGCGATCCACTCTTTACTGTTCTTTTCTTTTGTGCTCGTTTTAAGTCTCTCTTTGATATAGCAGGCATTCCTTGGCAGTTGTGTAACATGATTTGGGGCAAAAGGAGAGAAAATGAGATAGAAAGAAGGCGAGAGAGAGGGAGAAAGAGAGAGAGGAGGGAAAATGGTTTGTCTTGCTGCGTTTCATGTCCTGCTGTGCGCTCATATTTCTCAGCCCACTTCACAGTTGTGGGGTAGCTGGCTTATCGTGGGGCTCCTCAGCTCTTTCCATCATGCGTGGCCTAACTTAATCTCTCTTGTGTACTGTAAACTGCACCTAATAACCCTGCACACGATTAAAGCAAACATCTTAATAATGGCCTGTCTCATTATCAGCTCGCATTGGGAAAACGAAAGGTTCACTCTTGCCTCTATAATGTGGCTCACAAATAATCCAGAGAACAAGGCAACCTGCTTAGTTAGTGTCTCAAAGAAAACCAAAAAAATAACCGCAAGCCTGACGTTTTAAACGGAATTATCTGCATTTTAAGTAAAGCAAATGTTGCTGATTAATCCTGTGCTTGAGCAACGTTTTCTGCACGTCATGCAGAGACCAGGAGTGAGATGCAGGATTGAATGAATTGTGTCACTCTAGAGGGTGCTGTTTGCTGAGGAAATGTGCTTTCCTCCCTTTTTTCCTTTCCTGCAGCTCACACTAAATTCTGTTCCTCCTGCTTTCTAAACGTGAAGTCTTAAACTTATCCGACTAGCGTAAAGAAGATCGTAATAGATACAACAACCCACATTTAGTGGATATTTTACGTAGTGTATGTTTCAGATCGGACTCGACTCTAAAGGCAAAGGAAGGAAAGGATTTCGAGGGAAATAATAAGTCTTCGAGAGACTGTGTGGTATTGTGCTGCAAGGCACCTTTGACGCGATGTTAGGCCACGGTAATCCTTCTTTGTGTGTGTTCTCCTCACCTGTATGTCCCACACACAAATGCCCACAAGATGTTTACACAGGTTTCAAGCAGCCAACGAACGTGGAGAATGAGCTGCCAATCAGGCCTCCGCTGGCAGAGCGGAGACGGGGAAGAATGCGTCCGCGATGATGGTTACACCTGTGCTGTCAGTGATTTCCTGCGGTGGTATTGCAGGGTGTAATCCCTAACATCGCTTGTGTTTATGCTTGTGTTTTAGTTACAGTCTTGATACACACATGCTTTTGAGCTTAGATGGGACTTCTGCTTCATTTACTCCTCATCTTATCCCCGAGGGCATCCTCTGCAGCTCTGACACACACACAGGCTCATCTCCAGAATGTATACAGCAAACTCATGTATCCTCAGTCTCCTATTCACGTTAGATACACAAAACAAATATGCACAGAAACTGAAGACAGATGATTATCTTTTTTTTTATATCTTTTTCTGTAAAGTTATGTAAAAGGCACATTTGTACTTTTACTTTGTTCTAAATATAGAAAGCAGGAAGCTATATTTTTTTGTTGTTTTTTGGCTTGCCTTATTTAACCGGATAATTTACAGGAAACGCTAAAGTGTGCCTGTTTCCTTATGTACTGAGTATTTGAGGAGGTCTTTTTTTGTTGTTTTATATGGTTTGTGTTTCGTCACGAGTGACGCTGGCTGCACCACTGAGGTCATGAATGGGCAGGACAAACTCTCAGTGCCAGCGACTGAACTCACTTTTTATTTTAGCAAATATGCTAAATTTAGAGCTCAGCCGCAGCCAAAAGTTTGTCCCAAACTCCCTGAATGACACACCTTTCGAGAAGTGACTCTTAACATCTGCTATGTTTATCATAATTACACTTTTTCCTCTTGTTTTCCTTCTATTCTCTCTTTTTTTTTCCTTCTCACAGACACAGTAAGTGTTGCTCTGTTTTTCATTTATAAGATTTGTTGGCTGCGTTATTACTGAGAGGATTCTAAAGGAAGGGCATGCTTCAGCTGTGTTTTTGAAAACACTGTGCTCTGACGTTAGTAGAAGTGAAGGACCAGTAAAAGGTCTGCTCTGTTAACACACCCTCTATACACCACTGCCCAGTGAAAGGCCTGTTGTAATAGTGGCATTTCAATCCTTCAAAGTCAAAGACAGCCAATTGGATAATGAATTTTGGTTTGCCATTCTGGGGAACAGACCAAGTTGTGACAGTGCATAAAGTTACATATGAGAACTTCTGCTGAGTGAGACAGAACCCAACACTACGTAAAGTCTAGCCCAAAATAGGTGCAGCATTGAAGTCCTGTGGTTTGTCTGTATGATGTGACATTGATGAAATCCACCCATCGCTCATCTGTTATTTTTTACTCAGATCCATTATGGATGTGAGTCTGCGCCACTGCAGAGTGGGTAATGTTTGAAACCTGTTGAGTATTAGCTACTCTGTCACTGTTAAGGAGAGCGAAGTGTAAGCAATGTAATTGTACCGCATATTATCAAGGTGTGAACTGACATATTTCCTCTTCTGATTTGTTTTTACAGTGAAGGAATCCAAATTCTCGAGATGAGAGTACGACCTTTAATTGCATGCTAGCGATCTTCTGGTGAGTTTGTGTTTCCAAAGTCACTGCAGACTTTTTTGAGGAGCTTGGGATGTTTTAGTTTTAGAGTCTTCTTCTCTAAACCATTGCAAATCAACCTTCCGTGAACTTAAAGTGTGCATGAGTGTTTTATTTGCCGCATTTGTGGCAAAATCTTCTGTAGCAAAGAGGATACATGCCAAAGACTTATGGTGTTACTGTGGTTTAGGCTTATAAAACTGACGTAACTCCTGCTTTTACTGTTGGCACAACAGTAAAAGTAGCCAAGTGCTGTTAACCATTTAGCTTAGAATGACGAATAGAAACCAAATTTCCAGGGTGATGTTTGTTGTGGTGTCCTTAAAAGATTGTTCTCATCCTCAAAATGGCATCTTAACACAAGTCGTTTAATTACGCTACTTTAAAAGGGCACAACCATCAGTACCGTTTGTGACTGTACTGTAGCCCCCAGTACTCGGTGTGCCTCGCCACTATCCCACTTCCAATTAGGCCTCTTCACCCCCCCACCCCACACTGGTAGCCCCTATCCCTTACTCCCTCTTTCAGCTGGTCCACCCTCTGTCTGCCTGTCAGTGTGTCACCCCAGGGTAATGCTCCTCTCTCAGCCCCTTGGGGCCCTTTTGCCTCCAGGGCACTCCATGTTTGCCCAATCATTTGCGAGCCGGATACGGGGATGAATTGTTAACTACAGCAGGTCAGCCAGTGCCCTGCAGCCCCCCAGCCCTCTCTGCTCTCCCTCGACCTGCTGTTGACTCATCTCCATGGCAATGGGGCAGGAATTTCTTTTTTTTTTCTCATGTGTCTGCTGCCAGGCAGTTACCCGCCACCCTTTGCCACTACCGCTTCCTCTTCTCTTCAATCCCTTGGTCTCAGAGAAACCAATCAAAAGGCAGCTGGAGAGAGTCACGTGGTCAGGAAGTGTCAAGGGTGCCCACTGTGTAGCGTGGTGCTGTCTCTGGAGCTTGGCTCAACTAGGTTAGAAAGGCCTTAGAGACAAATAAGTGCCATTTGTTTAGTAGGATTTCCTGACACACAAAGCATGCAGATATTTTTTTTAGATTCTTGCACAATAAAATGTACACTGTGCATGTCCTCTTACCAAAGGCATTGTGATGGCCCAAGTTAACACCATTTACCTCTGTTGATACAAATCTTGCATTCTTTCATGGTACGGTGAGTTTGTCATTAAAAATGTTACATGTGACTATCACTGAGATGGTCCTTTAAAAGAAAATTCTGATGCTTTTTTCATTTAGTCATTGTGCAATCTAATTCCCATCATTGTCTCAGTATTGACGAGCTTAAGTGTGTGTTTGCCCCCACACATGTTATTAGCTTAGGGCAGGTGAATATTTGCCTAGCAGTCTCCCCGTATGAGATCAGTGTTTGCCTAGGGAATGTACCATGTCCGATTTGTCATGACACATATTGTTTAGCTCATCAAACTGGTCCCTTATGGCTGAGTTGCGTTGTGCCCTTTCAAGTGAGAAATGTCCTTTTTTGTGTTTTTTCCTCTTTGGTTCAGGACATGTTATTGGATTGTGTGACTTGGTGGAAAAGTATTAACGATGGCATATGAGTGAGAGGAGTCCACATCGCCGTTAAGAAAATGAATGCCAGTTTGAACATCACCCATTATCCTCCAGGCACATCCCGTAGATGCAGATGAACTCTGAGAGAAGCTGGCTCTCTCGCTTTGTGGTTGTGAGGAAGGCTCAGCAAACTCATTTCTCCCACTGCACTTGAGTGGTTAACCAGCCATTACCCATGGCATGTGCAGCTTTTCATTTAGTCCCAGAAAGTCTTAATCTACAATATTTACTACATCTTAAACAGCATATGTGTTTGCATTTAAAGTGTCATTGAGTAATGGTTCGGTGTTTTGTGGATGTCTGTTGAACAATGTCCATATTAGTCACTATTAGCCTGCAAGTATATTCGAATAGCTGTGCGCCTTTTGTGAGTCTGTGTGGCTGTTGTCCTGTGCCACTATCTGGGTGGTCCTTATGGCTGATTTGATGGTAATCCGCATGTCCCATAAATCAGTGTCCAGGGTTTGGCCGGGAGCTGATGCTGTGTTCCTCACTGGAGCAAGCAGCTTTAGGCACTAAACCGAGACCCCAGCTCCTGCCCTGCCCTGACCTGGCCACACGTCAGCTCTCCACACCACCTCTAAAATAACTCATCATGCATGGCTGCCTTTGGAAAATGGCCTCACTTCTGAGCACATATTAGCCACCAACATTATAAACTGTGTATCTGTATATTGTGATTTCAGTATTTCAAGTTCTCAAAACTTTTTGATCATGTATATTTTACTTTCTGTGAATTATTATAGAAAGTTTTTTATTTTCTTTACTAACATTACACTTGTTTGTTCTGACTCGTGGCTGACACAAAGTGACTCTGATAGGCTTCTAGAGCCATGCCCTCAGCTGAGATGCCTTATGAAAGAGCTAAGATTAAAGTCAAATCTCAGTCTTTGTAGGGCCTACACTTCTCTCAGAGAATGAGGAGGGAGGGTAAAGGCCCGTCCGGCTGTCTGGCTTGCATACAGCTCTCTACTGAGCTTTTATCTAGGGAGATTGCTTGCAGCTCTGTCCAGACCCGACTCCTAGGGAGTGCACAGTCCTGAGACCTGTGGCATTAATAAAGATAATGCTGTTTGGAATAATAACAGTCAATTCTACTCAAGACAAACAACAGACACAAGTGGGCATAATACAAAAGAAACCTAGATGAAAGGCTGGTAGGTAGGTCCATGCACCTCTCTGGCTCTCTTGTGGGAACTGATGGAGCCTATATCAGTATGCTCAAATACAAACAGCACTGAGTGGGACCCTATATCAATTTTGACGCTTGGTGCCATGAGGCAGAAACACAATTTGTTCTTTTGTCTGCCAAGATCACAGAGGGAGAATGGTGACTTGTCTTTCCTTTCATTTGTTTCCCTCTCGCTCAACTCCTTTTCATTCTCTCTATTCTTGCTTTCAGTGAGTACAATTTAGTTTGATGAGCAGGTGGTCTTTTTTTGAATCTTACAGTGCTTTGGGCTCCCACCTCTGGCGTGTGGGGCTTTCAGTTGGAGTTAGTCATGTAGGCCAGAATTAGAAGGGTGGAGGAGAAGGAGGAGAAATAGGTCCAGTGTCTTGGTATTGGCAACCTTAGCACCCTGCAGTCAGAACCATGCAGTGTGCAGATTGAAAGAGTTATTTTGTTACTTAAGCTTTCAGCCGCACCCCAGATGGCTTTTGTGCTGGCCAGGGACATACTTGGGGACAAGGTTAAAGTGACAGAGTCTTTTAGGCCCGTTGAGTCCCTGGGCACAGCAGGTAAAGCACTGTGGACGAGACAATGAAAGCGCCGCCTGCTCTGCACTTTTCCGTCTTGAATCTTAACACTGAACCAAAAGAAAATAGGTGGTTTTGAGCAAAGGGAAACTTTTACTTCTCACCACACCCACAAAAAACACACATGTACACTGCATGAAGGTGAGATTCAGTACTTTCACTGCTTTACCTTTGAACTCATGTTTCATCACACAGATACTATTTACTCAGCTCTGTTACTACTTAAAGGAATTCATGGTCAGTCACAGTATCTATCAGACATGATTTTGCCATAACCTCCATGGTGACACCTCGACATGCGAATGGTTTTGTGTCAATCATCCTGAACAAAATACAGTGCTCAGCTGTCTACTACTTCCAACTATATTTATTTTTGTTATATTTTACCAAAGAAAAACGAACATGCTCATATTTAAGGAACTTGGAAACTAGTTCAGTCGCTCTTCTGAACCACCGCTTGTGATGTTGAACTCCATGTAGTCGCAGTTACCTATTTAACTAGTACAGGACTTGGGAAAAAAGTCTATTTAATCGCATTGTCTGTGTATCTACTGAATTTTTGCATTGCTGATTGCATGCTAACTAATTCAGCCATAATGCTATGACAAACTTGTCATTTAAGTGTCTAAATATGCGACCGTCACTAGAGATGGTCAAGGCTAAATCATATCCCCACAGAATATGGCTATCATGAAGGTAGTGTCAGAGTGAGTAATGAAGTGGTGATAATATGGTGAGAATGTCGTGCTTTGGTTCTTGAAGTCAGATCTGTAAATCAAACTGAGAGGAGCGATTTGGTCATACTGATCTGTTAGCCATTCTCGGTTTGTCCCCCAAGTGTTTATCATAGAGCTTTCACAAGTGGCCACTTCTGCTTGCACTGATAAACAGCACGGATTGGATCCAGACCCTGCTGGGTTATAGCTGGAGCCCTTGGGCTTGTAACCACACAGACTGAGAATGTTAGTCATTTGTTTATTATTGGCAATATTTGCCTGCTCCTAATCTTTGGCTGGATTAGCCAGATTAGGTGATTCTTATCCTACCTTTTTCCACTTTCGCATTTAGGGACATTTACATTTTGCATGTTTTGCTAATGCCTGCACTGACAACATGCGCATGCATAGACATGCTTTTAGACTTGTGCACCAATGCGCGAATGTGTGTTTAAGTAAATGCTATTGCACATGTTTTGCTGAAGGATGTTTGTAATCAAGAGTTTGACTGATACCCCCTCTAACTTCTTCTTTATTGGAGGGATCAGGGTCGGTAGGAAAACTATTGCTGTGGCTGATATTTTATCCCATGCCAGGTCATCTTTGTGGTCAATGCTTGGAGATGAAGGAGTGTTTGGATCTAGCAATTTAGGGCTCCAGAAAATATTTTTTGTCATTTATTTTTTTCAAACAGAAACACTCGCAAGAGCCCTGTAGGAAACAATTAATCAAAGAAGCTGAATGTCAGTGCGGCGTCACTGGAATCGGAAATTAGTGATGTCATGAAGATGGAGAAAGTGGTCAGAATGGCAATTTTATGCCAGTTATGTGTGCCGTGAAACTACTGGCCGAGAGTCACCTGGATCAGAAAGGGAATAGGGTTTACTGAAATGAGCTAGCTTGTTTAGTATGACCTTTACAGAGCTGATCCCAAACA